CCTGGACGCATTTACTCTGTTTGCCTAAACAGCTGTAGCCGGACTGAGTGCCTGGTTGTTTAATTTCTGGCATGTGTGGCCCTAGAAGCCCTTGCACCGCTGCCGTTATTTGGGTAGAGTTGGTTGAGGTTTTGGCTGCTGGACGAGGGAATAAGAGCAGCGAAGCTCCAGTTTTGTTGGAATTGGAACGGGGGACCCGGGAAGGGTACGAGGTACTCCTTGTCACCCACGGACTGCAGTACCGTAAGCACGGAAAGTATAAATTGTACCCTTGCAACTATTCATCGAATATTTCTATGCCGTCGATGCGGGCGCGCTCAGATGGCGGGTTCATAATTTCCTGAGGGTCCTCCCTTTATCTTAAAAAAGAGGTTCGCTGTGTTTTCTTCGTTTCTCCTGGCATGAACTCTCAGCTCACTACAGTGGCAAACGGAGAAGTTGGAGAATTCTCTTTCTTTGAAGCACTCTCCTTTGAGTCCAAAGGGCCCCGTGTACCCCTATCTTCGGAGGAGTTTGGGCTGCCGTCATCTTCGAGAAAGGTCCCTACGAGTACCAGCCCGTCAAATCCGACCAGGACAAAGTTGACCTTGAAGATGGCTGCCTCGAAGGCTCAGATCCAGTGCTTAGAGCTCTGCCACAAGACCACCAGCCTAATCGACCGCATCTCCGTTCGCATATTGGAGTATCTGACATCCCCCAAACAGCTCACTCATGGCTTCGAAACATTGGCGCACGATTTTCTCGATACTTGTCAGATTCTCTTCTCTATCGAGGCAGGCCTGGGAGAATGCAATCGTACTGGGAAGAAATTCCCTCCTGAGATGATCACGGAACTCGGTCATAAGTTCCGAGTGACCCAGGCAGACTTCCACATTCTCGACCAGATGCTGGACAAGTTTCTCAGCAAATCGACTTTCATGAAACGAGGATTGGCGAAGATCTTTGACAACACCGACATCAAGAAGATGACCACCGCGTTGGCAAAGACACGAGAAAGTCTGAGGATGAGCTCTCTGGTCTTTCAATGGAATCTAGGAAACGAGAACCTTGAGATAGGAAAGGGCATAGGGTACACCGGTTTGGCTGCCGCGCTTGACACAATGGGCCATAAGTCTGGCAATGGGATGGCCAGCATAAATGGCAATGGCAACCAGAATGGCAACGGTTCCCATTATCAGCTTCTATCGGTAGCACCACTTGGCCCGCCCCCGTCGGTAGCACCACCGCCACCTGGAGTGATGGATAGCCAGATTGAATTCCAACAACTGGCGCAGCCGCCTCTGCCATTTTCTAATAGGTCTTCCTCGATTAAGCACGAAGAATCCGTGGGCAGGGCTTCTAGCCGCAAAAACATTCGACCACCCTTGAGTCCTGATTTTCGACAAAGTAGCATAACCACGACTATTCTTGCGACCTCTGCTGGATCTATTGAGAGGAATCTTTTGCGGACTACCGACACGTATGACCGGGCCAGCATTATGGATGACACTCATTCTCTGACTGGCATTGCCGAGTCTGATAACTTCCTTGAAGATATCATGGGGATGGAGCTTGGCCCTTTCAAGGTCGTCCGCCATACGGTTAACCCCACCGCCATGCCGCGCTGTTATCCTCGAAGCGCAGCAGATTCAGACTCCCCGAGCATGAAATCTGCCCTTGTTTCCGCCGTTCGCGGCAAAAATCATAAACTCGTGGAGCAGTTGCTCAATCGGGGGGTCTCAGCAAATGCTGGACCGAATGGGCACGCACTCAATGAGGCCATCTTTGCTCACGATCAAGAGGGTGTGCGCCTCTTGCTTCTCTACGGCGCAGATCCTAATGATCCTGACAGAGATAGCATCACTCCACTGTTCGCAGCTGTCGAGAAATCATTCCTTGCCGGAGCAACGACACTGCTTAAATACGGCGCGGACCCCAATCTCGTGGCTGGCCCGGATTTAGAATCTCCCCTTGCAACCGCTGTTATTGCAAATCTAACGGGCTTCTCCCACCTCCTGCTGACATACAACGGCGACGCCAACCACATCACGGCGAATGGCAATACACTTCTCATCAGCGCTACCAAGAAGGAGACACCGAAGGAGTTGATTAGCCTCCTTCTCGACTATGGCTCAGATCCCAATGCTAAGAGCAGAGACGGCAGGACCGCCCTCTTCGAAGCTATTCAAGTCGGTAGGCCAGATCTCGTCACGAGTTTGCTGGAGCATGGCGCGAACCCAAATTTGCCTGGTCCGAAGCACATGCTTTGGCCAGCGACTTACCATCCTGCCTGCTTAGAGGTGCTTCTGTCCCACGGCGCGGATTCAAAAAAGTCCCCCGGAATCATGGAACTCGCAGTTAGCATAAATAATATCGAGTCGGTCCGTATTCTGCTCAAGGCTGGCGTCGATCCGAATACTAAGAAGGATGGTACATACACACCTCTATGTACAGCGATTCGAGACGACCGAACGGAACTCCTCCAGCTGCTACTCAGCAATGGAGCCGATCCAAACGTTATGGCGAGCGAGTACCCCACCTTCAAGTGCATAACTCACAACAGAGTCCACTTTCTGCCTCTACTCGTGGCAGCCGGTGCAGACCTCCACACCCCCAAAGGTATCTTAGAGACGGCCATCAGCACGAACAATATGGAGGCATTGCACTGGTTGTTGGACCAGGGTGTGAACCTCAACGATAAGAGTCCCAAGGGCGACTCTCCGCTAACCACAGCCATTCGCGAAAACCGCATAGACATTGTCGACTTGCTGTTGTTGCGAGGAGCCGACCCTCATATGCGGGGACAAGACTGGCCACTGTGCATGGCTGTCCGTAACCCTCCCATTCTCAAGCGCATTCTCTCGGTGGTTTCTGAACCACGAGCGTTCAAGGGAGTTATGGAGATGGCTGCATCAGCCAATCAGCTGGAATCCGTCAAGCTCCTCATTGCTGCTGGAGTCTCAGTCGAGGACAAGAATGGCGGCGTATTCTCCCCCCTGACAACCGCCATTCGAGAGGACCGTCGGGGGATTGTCTCGTACCTGCTCAACGAAGGTGGCGCTGACGTTAATGCCCCTGGAGAGCACCTCCCCATCGTTAAGGCCCTGCGAAGATACCACGGCAACGACACCGAGATCTTGGAGTTGCTTCTCAAGCATGGCGCGGATCCCAACAAGATATACCGAGGTTGGAATGCCGTTATGCAGGCAATCGAGAATGGTGATGCAGATGTCTTGAGATTATTGAGCCAAAGTTCTGGCGTCGACTTGGAGGTGGAGGACGAGATGGGGAGAAACGTTGTAGATATAGCAGCATCACGAGGATGGACTGAGGGAGTCCAGATCCTAACAGACAGAGATATTCGATTGAAAAAGTAATTTAGTGGTGTAGCGGGGTGGCCCTGGAAGGGAAGGATTGAATTTTTTAATGGTTTGGAATACGGCAAGGTTAAAGGTGGTGGAGGGGGGTGGAGGGGGTTCGTGTGACTTGAGGCTCTTTGCGCAATGTTACCCTCACGCACTCTTTTCCTTATATAATTCTTCTTCGTCAGATTAATACACTCTACCTCTATACAATACCAGAGTCATTGAGGCTTCATTCCACTTCTACAAAAGTTATCTTAACACTTATAGATTGACTGCTCATATACTATTTGTGGTAGCTATGGCCCTATGGGCGGGGGCCACGCTATCTCTATTACGCCCTTGTCTTCGTCTCTGTCGTATGGCGGAATCAGGGTTGGGTCGTTTCAGTTGCTCTAGGGCCGCCATGGCCTATAAGGGCACAGCAGCCATTAATTCAATGATATTCGCCGCTTTTCCTACCCAACTGGCGTCTCAATATATGTTGGACAATTACGAGGTGGTCGTTGTTGGCAATAAGAAAGAGGGCCAGCTCCAGCTGCCCCTTTTGCCAATGGCGTGGGATTCAGACGTCGATGCAATCTTGGTCATTGTTAGGGTTGCTTTCCTTGTGGTTGCCTCGATGCGGACTCGGTCCAGGACTTTCCAAAGGGCTGAAGCCAAGGCGGCACTCTTCTTTTGGGGATTGTTGCTTTTTGGTCGGCATGATATGCCCTCTTATAGGCGAGGCATGTCACGTTTTGGGGGTTCAATCAACTGCGATTTTGCCCTTTGGATAAGGAGGGCACTCTGTCATTCAGAAACCCTGGCACGTCTCTGGTAGATGGTGTTTGGGATCGTATAACGGCACTATTGGAACGAGGCCATCACAAACTAATTTTCAACCCTGAGCACTACCCCTACAGTTCTAAGGGAAAGCATCCCATCCCCATCCCCGTCTCCATTTCCGCTTCACTTCATATTCGTCGTCCATACGTCCACCGGTTCGGCCGTTTTCACGTCGTCCCACTCGATTGGACATCTACTCTCTTCAAAAGATAACTGGAATGCTTTGCTCCGCACGATACCTTGCGCTCGCTCACGTGCTTACCCCTTTTGCATCCCCCACCTCGCTTACCCGTTCCATTGGTACCACCTGGCCCGTGCGCAATCAAGCGAACTTCAAACAGCAAATCATATTATTCACTTTCTGACTTAAGAATTTTGATTCGCTGCAATTTTTCGATATATTTGATTACGGAAAAACTCAACTGGCAGCAACGGAACTGATATGACATAAAAAATAATTCAACTGCGGCCTACTTCATGCCCTAAAGGAGTGGAATAATTATGGTGAAATGCTGGTAAAAATTCAAACACATTTGATGCAAAGAAAGCTTGTATTGGGATTGGTTGAAATTTAGACTTACTGATAGGGTCAAAGGTATCGCCGTTTTCGTCACATGTTAAGAAACATCTCCACACCGACAGGGATACACAAACGTCATCGAGCATGCACCCAACAAGGGGTTCCTAACGATCGGGTAGGATGCGCTCTGAGGTCACAGAGTGCCACAAGACGAGAAACAGGTTTTCGTCATTCTTTCTGAACATATATTGCGATCTTCCGAACTGTGGCTGGAGCAGCGTTACATTCATCTTTCCCTCTTGTAAGAACTTAGCCTTACGACTCATCTTTTTGCAACTTTCGACATATCTTCAAACGAATATCAAAATGGCAGGACTTCTCGGCGGCGGCGGCGGAAACAATAACGGAAATGGTGGTGGTGGACTTCTTGGAGGGTAAGCCAGCCTGTCTGTCGTCGAGATGCAGAGAGCTCATGCTCGCAGACTCCTGAACACTGTCGATGATACAACGAAAGGTCTTCCCATCGTTGGAGGCATCACATCTCCTCTCCTGAAGACCGTCGGAGGCATCACGGACGGCTTACCCATCGTGAGTATCTCCCCCCACCATCGTTTTCAAGAAAGTGAAGGTTCTAACCCAAGTCTTATCAGGTCGGATCAGGAGGAGGTCTCGGAGGAGGCCAAGGCCAAGCAAGACAACAACCCGTCGTGCAGCAGCAATTCGCACAAGCTCCTCAATATGCGCCACAGGCTCCATACCAGCCTCAAGCAGCAGCGACGAAACCTGTGCTGAGCGAGGCAGAAAAGAAAGCGAAGGCTGCGGAGAAGAAGAGGAAGCTGATTGCGTTGAAGAAGAAGCAGTTAGAGATCGAGGCTGCAGAGCTGGAGATGAGTGATTAAGGATGACAAAGGGCCGGGCTATGAGTTTATGAGGCTATGATGAAAATTGTTGTACTTTAGTCATCTTGAATTTGGGTTTTGAACTGTATAAATACTTTCAATTGCTTTCAGAGGCTTTCATATCTTTGTGGAATGGAATGGCTTCGTTCGTTCTCGCAATAAGAAGACAAATTATATCTGGACCCAGTGGGTTTCCCCGTATTGAATCAAATTCAGCCGTAGGCTCCCTGTTGGATTCCGTGGGATGCTGATCCACGGACGGACTTAATCTCCTCGTGAGCCCACCGCCGTTTAGTCCCTGGATCTTCCCCATAGCATATTGCTGTAGGGGCTTGGTTGCGGATAATCCATTGTATCTCTACCTTTATGACCGTACCCCGGGTGTCAGCTTGGCCCCCGGCGCCTTTCGGCGGGGTTGGCAGGTAGAGCTTTAGGGCGCTTCCGCAGTTGGGCGATATTCGCTATTCGTGTGACTAGTACTTGTTCGGCTCCAAGCCCGGATAGCTACCGACCCTCTTACAGGCGTCTTTCAAGAGCAAAGTGACTGCGATTATTATTTTTCGACTCCTAGTAGTGCCTTTCCGTTAATTTCTTTAAGTTTTAGCCTTGCAATTATATCCCCCCCAAGAACCCAACGACGTTGATTTCTCGTAAAGTACCAAGCAAGTCAAGATAATAATATTACCCGATCTCTAGTCAGCGAAAGGTTGTTACGATTCATCAGATGCCCAGATGCCTCCTAGACGCACGTGACGCGGCCGCCTCGCTAGGAAAGTATGCTTGATTCACTGGAGATATTTAGAAGGCTAAGCCCCTTCGGGACTAGCCCACTATGGGGTGCATATACTCCCTCGCAGCCTCCTGTATCTAGTTTTCCCTTCCTTAGCTTTGAATCGTCTTCGTAAGGGACCTTCTACCTTGCTTTCCAAGCCCTGAATGCCGTACCCGTGACACCTTGCACATGGAATTCGGTCACACACTGTTCTGGGCATCTCTCTCTATGAGGGCATAGCCGAAAATCAAATCCCGACCCTTGACTTATAATTTGTGGGAGGCCTTCTGGGGACGGACGGGGATAAACTTGTTTTGGTCCTCGCTCCTGTCATGTCCGGGTTGTGTTAGGGGGTCAGAAGTTGGTGGGGTCACTGGATTCAGGGGGTGAGCATAAAATCACCGCTTTGACACCCCTTCTGAAGCAACCCCACGTTCTATGCTTGCCTGCTTTGTTCCTGAACGCCAAGGATTAGATCGGCGCTGTGTACAGAATCGGTATCATTTCCTCGTCCTCCTTTCGTGGGCAGGTAGACTCTCCTTGCTTGTATCCATGTACAACAGGCTTCATCCTTGTTCCTGCAGGAACTAGTTCCTCGCCTTCCTTCTTGTCATCGACCGAAGCCTTAATAAGTTGTGCTTCCGAATCTTACAGTAACCTTGCAGATATAGCGCAAAAGTTAAAAGGTCTTCGGGTATCTCTTAATGCACGATTTCAGGGTTGCGTTGCAAACGAGAAACGGACGTACATGGAACTAATGAAGTACGGAGTTTCTGACTGATATCCACCGTATATGTCTGGATGTGCGCGCCATGATCTATTCTCTTTTAACTGAACCATAGACTTTAACATACAGGTCCAAATTCTCCGACGATCCACTACTTCATTTTCTGTTTTCACGGGGCGACATGAGTGACATTCCGAGGCCGGATGGACCTGATATCAATATCGGTTTGTTCCACCCTCTCTACTCAACAGCGCCCAACTCATGATATTGTCCAGGAGGATCTATGATGAGGACCATATGGGTTCTCACTGGCATCAGTATTCTGGTATGTATATTCTCGGGTTCTATTTTCCGGCTTTAGAACATCTGGCGAGGAGTGGTACATTCAAAGTTCCTTGGGCGGTTAATGTACAAGGAGCTTGGGTATATTCAGATTTCTTAATTGGGCGAGCTAACCTCAAGAATTTGCAGGTTGTTGGGCTGAGACTCTATGCCCAATTCGTCTCCCGCCATTTGGATTTGGGTGATGCTATTATGACATTATCAATGGTGCGTACTGAGTGAGGCCTTACTTCCTTACTATTTCCTAACAGATATAGATTTGCGGAGTATTGTTGTGCTCGATGCTTACAACACAGCATCACTACGGATTGGGACGGCATTTCTTCTATCTTTCGCCGACCCAGAGGGTTCTTGCCATCAAATTCAATTTCCTTGGGCAAGCTTTTGGTATGTGCATAAAAAAGTCCAGAGATGCAAATATTTGCAAGGCAGCGAGCTGTATTTGCTGACCCTGTCATTTCTAGGTATAATGGGCCCTGCGTTTGGACGTATGGCATCGTGCCTCCTGATGTTGAAGCTCTTCGGCACAAAGCAAAGACTAAGACAACTCCTGTGGTTTATCTTCTGGGAGTCACTGGTGGTGAATGCCATCACGTTGATCTTAGTCTTTGTGCAGTGCAAGGACGTTCAGTCATTGTGGGACCCTGCCGGGCATCCTCCAGTATGCTGGAGTCCCAAGGTCCAAGAGGTAAGCTTCTATGACGTGAGGCAACAATGGCCACGCTGATAAATATACAGTATACTGGATTCGTGCAAGGAGGCAGGTGACATTGTGATAAAGTACTGAGATGACACTAACCATTTCTACAGCTTTGAACTCGGCTACCGACCTTGCTCTGACAATTCTCCCCGCCACGATTTTCTGGACACTTCAAATCAATATGAGATTGAAGCTTGGTTTGGGATTTCTCCTTTCTCTCAGTATATTGTAAGCCCATCCCTCTCAAGCTTAAGGCCATAAGTTAATTTTGATCAGTGCATTCATCGCCTGCATCATCAAGACAGTTCTACTCCAGTCCCTAGGAGAGCGTGAGGATTTCACTTGTACGCTCCTGCACGTAAAATTTCATGGCTGTATCTAATATCCCCCGAAACAGTTAACACAGTCCCCTTCTTCACCTGGGTCATCGCCGAAATCACACTCGTCAACATTGCGGCCTCGGTACCCCTTATTCGCCCACTCTTCAAGCGCCCGTCCACCCACGCGGGCAACACGTCTTACGAAATGAACAACCGATACGCATTGACGAACAAGGGCAGTCGTCTACGCTCTCGCGATGTTGAATCAGGCAAGCACTCGATAGACAATACCAGTGAGGAGAATATCCTGCCGATAGAAGGGGTGACCGTGGCTAGAGGTGGGAGTGGCGTTGAGGTAGACAAAAATGGCATTATGCTATCTACCAGTTATGTGGTTAGTTATAATGAAAATGGCAAGAAAGACGGCATGCCGGGCAAGAAAGTGCGGGGTCTACCTGGGGCCAGCCCCCACTAAATGCTGGGAACTGGAAGTGGTTGAGAAGTTGATGAGCTTGAAGGACCGAGTGGAAATTTTCTATTGCGAGGGCGAATTTTGAGTTTGTTGAAGGTTGCGAGGGTGGGTTTGATACCGTGTTGTTTCCTTACGGGTAAAGGGAGTTGTGTGTATAGCGAAAGGGATGGTTTGGAGTTAGTGTTACGAACGACGGTTACACTCTTGGATGACAATTTAGAGACGAGACAAATGCTTCATATTTTGTTCAATCATCAATCCACTAGAAAAATTCATTACACTATCTTATCAGGTTGTTCTATTTGTACAAACAAATGTAAAAAACTCAACGCTTTATCCTCCCGCCACAAACCATTCTTATGAGTATTGGCTGGTATCAATATATGCAACCTTGCCAGGTACGACGATCGAGCTATTGACAGGTATGGCAAGACCTGCAAAAGATTAGCTGAAGTTTTTGCTCGCCTACTGCTAGGAAGAGTTTCTAGTTACCTCCGTTGGTCGTTAAGTAGAGTATGTTTGCCGTCGCTGTCGATCTCCCGAATTGTCCAGCCGTCACGCCTGCGAGAATCGTGCTGAAATTATTACCCGCCACGAGCGTCACCACCCCGTTCTTCACTACACTCTCGCTTTGGATCTGATTCTGGGACATCCAGGCAGTACCATCCGCACGAAAAACAAAGTCGTCCACCTGTGGGATACTTGCCACAACCAATGACGAACCAGTGGCACAACCAGTCGTGGAGGAAATGGGGATGCGGGAGAAGATTGGATTCCCGGTGTTAGAGAAGTACAGGTACCCATTTCGGATCTTTACTCCATTTATTCCCAGTGGTGTGATGGCCGTGGAGAGAGCTTTCATTTTGGCGTCGTCGATCGTCACCTTGTAGGTTCCTGTAAGTACGTTCAACGTGTACACCGTACCGTTCAAAGAATCGGCTATCACGACGAGACCGGCGTTCACGTTGAGCGTAGTCATGCCGTTGAGAAAACCAGCAGTGGGCAGGTCGGCTACCTTGGTAATAGTCGCACCTCCCACGACATTCCCGTTCGCGTCGACCGCGAATGTGTTCATGTCGATCTTGAACACAGAGGAAGTGCCACTTGTCTTGGCGAAATTGCTGCCAAAAGGCGCCGCAGCAACGACATAGAAGACGTCGCTGCCCAGTTCCGTGATTCCCAGACATCCTGCGTACGCTGTACCGAAGTTATTGATTATGATTGGAGTGGTATTTGTCGCTGCGGGATCGATGAGCTCGAGAATGGCCGCGTCCATTCGTGTGACCAGCAATTGCCCATTTGCGCGCACCGCGAGATTCTCGTGCCATGTTGGCACGCTTGCCTCGTAGATGGTGCTCGCGGCGAGGGGCAGAACGCTGCTTCGTGTTTCCAAATATCCACTTGATTGGACAACTGGGCTCGGCGTGCTGGGAGTAACTGTGCTGAGAATAACAAAGGCCTGGAGCCCCAATGTAAGAGTAAATGAAAGCATGTTTGACAAAATTGGGCAGGCCGGGAAACGCTTCAGAATTTTGATTCTTCAAATGATAAGACGATGGCGACGCGAAGGAACGAGGACGAGGACGAGGTTTGTTTAGATTTATTAAACGTTATCTACAGCTAATATTAAAACATCTTCGCAACCTCGAACGCCCGCTACTGACTATCAAAGGAGTTCTATCTCACTTGGGATGTATAATTTGCTTTCCATGGCGGCGGGCCCCCCGCTAGCAATTTCCGGGGATGGACTTTGCTCTTCCTGCCTCATACCGCGGCTAGCGTGTCTAATGAGTTCGAAATTTCGAGGCTCTGGCCTTATGGTGGTTGGTGGACATGGGCGACGACCCTTGCGTGAAAGGACAGTCCTGTCCTCGGCAGCACCTGTGGTAATTTCAACAGGCAACTCCCGGTCAAGTGCCAGCCGAGCTGGGCTGGGGGGCCAGGGGGGCCGAGCATGCGCCCTTTCATCTATGGAGGATTTAAGCGTTTCTAAGCTATATGAACCGTTATAAAAGCGTTATAGAACCGGTTCTATCTTGAGGTTGAAAAGTCGATTTTCTTTAAGTCAAAGATCAGGCTGAAATAACCCGGTGGGTCCTCATTCGCACCCCTGTAACTCACCCAGTGGAGCACACAGGTTAACCCAGTGCGCTGCTTACCGTCATCTATGTACTGTAGCGTGGCGAGCACCCAAGTTCCAACGGAGCAAACCCGTTTAGAGGGAGGGCCTGCTAAATTACTTCAAATCGCCAGGAACCTGGCAACCGGAACAGGGTGGGGATGGAGGGGCTGTGAGACAACGAGGGTCTAGATCTTGGGCGAGTAAAATCTTAACGCTATGGTAAGCTGCCCTCAGTGTCCTGAGTGGAGGTGGAATTGATCTAGAAGACAATCTTTGACCGCAGTCCTGACCCTGACCATTTCATGAACCGAGGTGTCAGGTCGATTGAGTTTCGTTTCAGGCTGTTCGACGAGCAGGTTAAGGGGTAGGGTTAATTCATGAATAGACAAAACCGCATTGATAAAACGGACGAAAATGGGGTTGCAAAAACTCACGGCGCACGCAAACATCCCTAGCTTCGGCCCCACTGCTAAAAGGAATTTGTAGAGAAATCAAAGTAGCCGACATGGTCTATGGGAGCACTGGTTCGAATACCCAGTCGCTTATATCAGAAGTTCATTACATGGCCACGGCCAATAATCTCCTTGACGTGTCTGCACCGTACGTCTTTCCGGGACATCCATAACCGTTCCGCGAGCGGCCCTTATTGTGGTTGTCCAGAAGGGTTAAGGGGACGGAAAGTATATTAAGGTATAATGGTTGCCTTAGTTGCAAAGAGCAGCTAAGGATACATATATCTGTGTTGTTCACGTGACCCGCATTAACTAACTATTCTGTTGAAATTAGGAGCCTGAGGCACCTAATGGGGCAGAACGTGTTGAGAGGATAAAAGCATGTATTAAGTGTATAGTACAAATAAGGGAGCGAAGCTCCCTTATATGCACTGTACGCATAAATCGGGTGGCTGGTACACGTGCGGAGCACGTGCACCGGGCTTGCAGATCGCCCTTCAACAGAACGCCCTAGGACTGAGCGCACTGGGGCTGAATCCTATGGGCTGTGCACTAACGAGGTAACGAGCCTGCGCCCGTAAGTCTGTGCTTTTCAGGCCTGAAGCCCCCGAAGGAACTTTAAACTTTCTCAATTCCAGGGATTTTGTTTCTAAATTCAAAGCACAAAGACATCAAGCAAATTCTTCGCAGAAAACTATATTTTACAAGGTTTTATTAATTGTTCTTGCGTACTACTTAATTTAAACTGCGACTTTGGAAGAAGGAGCAAAAATTAAGCGACAAAACGAGCCTGAAAACCACAGACTTACGGGCGCAGGCTCGTAATGGAGCTGAAAGCTATAGGCTTATTACCTGGTATATTATGCCCTGTAAGGCTGAATGGTTTAGCTGGCATTATGGCATAGTATAGTATGCCCTGTGTGACGGCTGGCGTAACGGCATGATCTGCCATGGACAGGATATTATAAGTGCTTGTTCTATGAGAACTTTGCATCTCAATAAATAGCTCTCTACGTGCCTAAGTGGTGGCGCGTGCGCACAGGAGTTTGCTGGTGTCTGCGAACCGCTAGCGAGTCCTTTGCACCAGGCACGTGATTTGCATGCTCTCATCCAATCAAGTCGCTCCAAAGAACTCTCTTCTTGTTCCGCACTCACCCAAGCAATTAACCCAGTGTGTCCCTAATCCGTGTGCAGCTGCTAGCTCCTCGTACGTCCTCAAAGGATTTCGCTTTATGCCGCGTCAGCATTTATAGCTCGTCTGGCAATATAAACAAACCTTTTATTATATCAAATATCTGGTCTTTTATACTCGTATTGTCTTATAAGAGATATCGCTCGTAGTCGTTATCCCTAGAGGGAGGTAAGAGGAGGAAGGGATCGTACGGATTGTAATCGTAAGAACTATAGAAGAAGACCGTTGTATACTCGTCAAAGAAGTTGTAAAAGAATATCGAGACTGTGAAGGCGCTGGCTGGGGGTGGCTGTCACATGACTAGTTTCACCTGGCTAGCCGGCGTTTCAGTGGTTTTAGCTAGTATTTCCCTCCTTTTATCCCCTCTCTTTCTCTCTCTCTCTCCTTCTTCTCTTTAGCTTAGTATTTTCAATACATGAGATTCTCGGATCTTTGAGCCTTGGCCATTGCCTTGATCCCGCCGTCAGAGAGACCAGTAATAACAACCCTTTTAATATTCTTCATCTAACCAAGAATCACGCCCGATCACCTCGATTATGGTCAGCCCTTGGCATATTCAGTGTGTCAAAAAAGTAATCAAGATATTTCGAATATTTATAAATATTCATAATTAACTTAATTAGAATATAATTACCGGAATACTCAAAAAATTTGATTAGATTAGAATATATATTTATGAATATTCATAAATATAAGTAATTACTCGTTATATAACTATAATAAATTAAGGTTTACTTAATAATTATTAAATAACTAGAGTATTTATTAAGCAGCCCTATTTAAACTAAGCTAGGGCTTATAAAATACTATTTAAATATTAATTTTCTAGAATAATAAACTAATTATCCTCCTTGAAATCTTGTTTTTTCCCCTTTTACTCTTCCTTTTTAATCTCTTCTAATTCATCTTTAAATAGCCCCCAGCTTTTTAAGTAATATATTAGCTCAAAGGTACTCTTATTAAGTCTATTGCGTAATTTAGATATAATAAGAGTACCTTAAGAGAAGAATCTCTCGCTAGTAGTTAAGGAAGCCGGAATTCCCAAATATTTTCTAGCTATTAAAGATAAAACAGGAAATCTAGCAGTATTAGACTTCTAATAGTCTAAAGGCTTAGTCTATACTTATATTAGTACTAATATATTAAAAAATGTTAAGAGGGTGTCGGCTAGTTATTTAGTAGAATTTAAGTGAATTTTACTTATTTTTTTATCTTCTTTCTTTTCTTCTAAATAAGTTATTAATTTGTCCCCTATATTAGAGAATAAATTAATAATATATATATCTAAGTTATTAGAGTCGGAATCGGCTATACTAAGATCCGAGGAATTAGATCTAGTTTAAGATATATTATAATTATATTTATATCTAAATTAAAAAGTTAATTATTAATTTATTAAAAATTAATAAAAGAAATTACTTATATATTATAATTAGTATTTAATCTATTATATATATCCGAAGATAAACTAGTAGATAAGCTAATATTACCTAATTCTTCTCGTTTAATATAAGAATTAAGAATAAGAACTAAATATAAAGCTTTACTTTTATTATTTAAAACGCCTATTTTAGGATAATATTTTCGAAGCTTAGCTATATTCTTATTAATAGTATCTATAAATGCTTTATCCTATTAAATATTAGTATAATATTATTAATAATATAAAAAGAATTTAAAAAAAGATTTACTTTAAATTCCTTTTTAAAATTTTCAAGTTTATTATATATTTTATATACTTCAAATATAATATAATATATAGTCGGATAATTTTCGGCTTATAATTTAGTTATAGCTTTAATAAATATTGAAATTATATTTAAAATATTATTTAAATAAGTAATTTTAATATTAGTTAAAACTAGACTTTTATTTTTAAAAGCCTTTAAATTAGAGCTATTAATAACTACTTTAATAGCTTTATATATAATAAGTTAAAGACTATTATATTTTTTAATCTATAAATAATTAGTATTAATTAATAATTAATTAATTAAATAATTACTTACTAAGTTAAGTAAATCGAGTATTTTCTATATTAAAAGCTTTAATTTAAGCTTCTAATAGCTATTGGTTTTCTTAATTATATTTAAGACCTATAATAGTCTTTTAAACCTTTCTCTAAATTAATAAATCTATAATTATTAATAAATCTCTTATAAATTATATAAGAAACTTACTTATTACTTATTCTTCTTCTTTATCTTCTTCTCTATCTTTAAGTTCTTCTATTTCTTACTTATATAAATGCGTAAAATAAGAAGTATTATAATTATTTTTAATAAGAGCTTTTAAAATATCTTGAATAACTAAGTTTAATATATAAGTTATACAAGAAATATCTTCTTAAAATTTAATGCCTTTCTTATTATAATACTTTATAAAAGCCTTTAATAAGGTATTATTTAAGCTAGTACTATCTCGAATAATATTAAATAAAATATATTAGTAATTATTTTTTAAAAACCAAGATTTATATTATTTACCTAATAATATTATATTTAATATTATATTATTTTAAAGCTTTTAATAAAACAGAAAATATATAAATACTAAAATATATATTATTTAAGTCTTTTATATCTAATAAATAAAACTTTAATATAAAAACTTTATTTATAAAATATCTAAAATAAAATTAGTTTATTTTTTAAAAAAATTAATTAATTAAGAACTTATTAACTTATATAATAATACTAAAAAAGGCCTTTTAATTTATACTTATTATAATATAACAGGCTATATCTTTCAAAAATTATATTATTTTAGCGGTTTTAAGGTTTTAGTTATATAATAAAGGCT